CTTCACCTAATCTTTTCAACATGCTGCGCAGGTAACCTCCACGTAGGACGCTGACTCCATGTAATGTGTGGGTTTTATAGACGCGGCAAGAATTGATGTGCTGCCATTAAAATGCACACATGATGGTGGTGAAGCAGAGGCAATATATCAAAATCCTTTTTATGTGATGCACATCCACAATCCTGTCAGATGAACCCGAGCACACTGATTCCACCCATCGTGTTCTGTGCTCATTTGGATTCATTTTAAACTGGATGTTTTTTTAACACTACTGGTTATAGAAAAGTGAATTTTCTTATAGAGAGACATTTAAACCACTGAGCCATTACTTTTAGCTTTATCACCATTTAGGTATTAATAAAAGTAATATATAAATTACTTTAAACTATGTATTTAAAGTATATCACATCGTTTAACTTGACCTCGCCGTCTCAGCATTCATGTACAGATGTTACAGATGATTTAATGTGCTGCGCGCTATATATTTTAAATCAAAATGTAATCACAAAAAATGTATATATATTATTTTTCTTTTTTTTTCAAAATAATTGACCCACTGTATAGTTCAATTGCCAGACTAGGCCATCTCCCACAGTGTGAATACTCCATAGGAATCAATATTCTATCCTTGTGGATGGAGAAACAATGAGCTGGCATTATTGAGGGGTTTGGCAACGTGGAGAGCAAACTGACCACGTGGTCACGGCCTAGTGCTGCTGGCTGGTCATGTGACTACTGGACTGGAAGTTAACATCTGTCCTGCTTTGTTTGCTGCGAGTGAGCTGAAACATGTTATTGTTGCACCGTCCCAACAGAGCGCTTCACTGTCAGAGTGCTGCCTCATTTGTGGTTCCTAATGTTCTCATCAGCAGCGCTTTTAGCTCTCAGCAACCAGCTTCCAGTTTTGGGTTCAGGAAGCAGACACAGTGTCCACTTTCAAGATTAGATTTGAAACTTTGCTTTTTGATAAAGCTTGTTGTTGGGGCCGACTCAGGTAACCCTGAATCATCCTTTACTTATTTACTCCCATGATGCTTTGAGCACTCTCCGATGGCATTAATTTTCCATCTTCTTTATCCCATAGATTGTGTTTTGTCCTCTCTGCTGGTATTAAGTTCTGATTTGTGGTTGCTGCCCTGTCCTGCCTCCCCGGTGCTTTTTGTTCTCTTGTTGTTGTCTCATTGTTTGTTGTTTCAGCCAGGCTAGTATAGGCAGACAGCTGTCCTGTCTATGTTTGATTCTTCTGGAGTTGTTTTTCAAACTCTCTACTGACGCCAAGTCATGCCCAAAGGGAATGATCAGATTTCTGGTGTTTCTCTGTCAACTGTCCTGAGATGACCTGTACTGTGAACTGGCTCTGCATAAAAAAAAAAAATAAATTGAATGGAAAAACTGCTGACTCAGTATCAGGTAAGATATATAGATAAAGTGAAAGCAAGAGGCAGAGGCCTTGTTAGGAGCTTCACGTATTTGGGGGCTTAGTCCAGTCCAGTAGTCATTAGATTTCAACCAGCTCATTTAAAAAAAAATTTCAGAGTAAAATAAATATAAATTGTCTGATGCTGTGCTCTTGGAAAAGTACGGTCATCCCACTTTCTTTTTATTCTTAACCCATGTTTCACATCAGTACCATAGTGAGTGTAGGTCGGTTAGACCAGCAGTTCTGTACCTCAGAGTTCTGTATATGATTTGTTTAGCTATAATTACGTGAAAAAGCAAGCCTTGGAAACACTTGTTTTCATGAATTATATTTGCTAATAATTTGGGTGACTGACCCTTTAAACATAGCAGAAGAGATGCAGGTGCCAGTGAGGGGAGGAAGTCCAACCATGAAGTCTCATAACAGAATAACCCAAACAGATAAGTAATAATAACAGAACAAATCAGCTGCCTGTGTTGCTGACAAAACAAATCTGTCTATGGCCGAATGACAGCTTAACTAACTACAGCTGAAACTGTGATTAAACACTTGACACGACAGAAAGACTTTATGAGCAGTAAAATAAAAAAAATAACACAATTTAGTTGGTGAATCTTGTCATAATAACATTTGTTTCCTTTCTGACAGATTCAAGGCTGGCTTATTCGTACAGAGCCAATCATATATTTTTCTCAGCTCATGATTCGTTGTAGTCAGCACTGATTAGCTTGCAAGGACATTGAAGTGATTACAGGAGTGTGCCAGCAAATATCTTTAAAATAACAACACAGTAAAAAGAAGAACAAAAAGAAAGTGTAATTTTAGAGTCACATATTGTAAAAGAACAAATCACTAGCTGTACACATACAGATTTTTTGATGTGGACATTGATTACACTTTTGGCCTGCTTTTTTAAAGTTAACTTATTAATAAATACCTTTTATCTGGGATTTTACTAGCTTTTTTAACCCTTAATATACACAATTCTTCTTTCAAATAACAGTAAATATCTGAAAATGTATTATATTTTATGCTGAATTATATGCCTTAAAAACAATGTGTGATTTTACTGTTTAATTTTATCAAATAAGGACTTACTATCATCGTATTATTGATGTACGCAACGTTTACAGTTTTGGATTGTTTTCTTTGGCCAAATACTTTTCTTTTTACTGTAAGTTGAAATACATTAAGAAGAAGTGTAATTTGACAGTCAAACATTGTAAACGGACAAACTACTGTATGTAAAAACAGATTAGATATTTGACATGGGTCTTCCTTACAGTTTTGGCATTGTTTTTTAAAGGTTAAATATGTAAATTAATATTTTTTTTGTGATTTTTGCAAGTTGTTATCTGGAATTTAACAAAATAAGGAACATTTGTAAAACAAAACAAAACAAAAATACTAAATTTCATTTTTCAATCCTTGATATACAATACGTAAGTGTTTTTTTTGTTTTATTTTAATCACAAATGTTTTTGTTTGTTTGTTTGTTTACAGTGCAGCCTAACCCTGATCATACCTGAGGGTGTAAAGTACAGAAGGTCAAGTGAGTTTACTTCAACCGTAATCTGCATAGTCTCGGTAGGGATTATACTATGTTCTGATACACGAGGACCCACGAGGACAGATATGTGATATATGTGTGTGTCTGTGGATGACAATGCAGATGATGTGTTGTTATGTTCTGTGAGTGACTCGGGCTCATTCCTGC